CAATACAGCAAGTTATAACTTCCTTTTTACTATAGGAAAGTAGCAGTAAAAATAGATATTTTAAGTTTTTGATTAATAAATTGCATTGAGATTAATTACTTTTTCAATATATAGAATTTTATCAATTTGATGCAACTTACAACCAGCATTGACAATTTTCTAATTTTTTAGTACTGTTCTAAGAAATGTATAAGACTTTGAACACAAAATTCTTTTCGTCCACATCCCAAACTTTTGAAACGCACAATTTTGTTTTAATGAAAAGGGGTTTTAACTAATGTTACATTTCATTATTTTAGCGTAATGGATGATTAATAAAAGTTTCGTTCTATTATTTATAAGAAATTGCAACTGCTAAATATTACATTCATTCTTCTCTTCTTTATTTTCACTTAAACTTTCTACGCGTAATAATTCTTCGGATGTTTGGGTTTGCGTTTGTTTACTAAGACTGCTTATCACGATTTGGATGACAAGCCTCACATATAACCGAATGTCCATAGCCTCGATCGTGGTGTCTCTAATCACAGAATTTATGGCAATATAGTTACATTTTATTTTCGGAAATGTTACTTTAGTTCGTGACACTCATTATTAGTATAAACAAGAAATGCTTACACTCCACTTTAATAATTCACATTTCTTAGTAATATAATTGACTACTCAGCATCTCTCACGGTAGAAGTACAAAAAAGTTTATTATTTAAAAAATTTATATTTAAGATGAGTAAAAAAGTAAAAGAAACTTTACACAGGTGACACTAACATGATTAGACTAAAGTCAAATATATATTTTGCTGATTTCATCATTTTAATTTTTCCTAGATAAATATTCTAAATCTTGGTAATATTTTCTATAATTAATTGAAATATCTTTCAAATAATGACAAAACTATTAAAATTTTTTCTGTAATCGTAACAGGTGTTTACAACAGTCGCAAGAGTTTATATTTGAGGACGAAGATTGTGAATTTATTATAATGGATCCTACAATCGGTTAGTATTTTTGTTAATCTGAATACAAATTTAGTTTAAGAAATTAAATATTTATTTATGCAGCCCCACAAATTAGCAAATTATCACTCAACAATATAAAGATTCGTTCGCTTGCACTTTTTATTTCTTTTAACAGAGATGCGATTCGTGAATTGGACGATGACCAATTTCACACATTTGGTTTTCATACCATTTTTCATGACTTTTCCAAACTCCAAAATTCGTCAGAAAAATTAAAGTTTGCAACCGACTTCGTCCAATATTGTGCACTGAACTGCTGGGCAAACGGGTGGAAAATCATCGTTCTAGTATCTACTCATTTGAGATTTTGTAATGAAATTACTAACTTCATATACAAAATCCGTAAAGTTTGTGACAATCTAACTTTGGATATTGTTATTATCCAACCAAAGAATAATGAAAATAATGTTAATGAGGATAGAGAAATCAACAACTATATTAAACATTTTCATGCAAACGCTTTTCCCACTGCTCTGATCTGTGACCCTTCGGAAGGACTCAATGCTCTTTTTGTAAATTAAACTTTCATTTATTAATTCATTATTTACCAATCTATTTAATTAATCCAAACTATTAATTCATTATATTACAACCAATTTTCGTTAGAACCATCACAGATATCTCATGATAGACAGGAATGCTAACGATGAAGTTCGTTTTTACAACAAAAAGGAACTTTATTACGAGTTCACAAATTTCTTTTATGCTCCCATCAAAATTGATTCTAAAGAATGGAAAACTTCTGAAAATTATTGTTAAGTATCTTTAAATATTCACATATATTTCTGCTAAAATAATTCTAAATAAAATTAATTTTAATAGTCCAGGCTCAAAAGTTTGATATTAAAGCGCTTCAAGATAAAATTCGTCTTGCTTTAAGCGCTCGTGACGCATTCAACATTGCTAGAAAAAATGATAGATTCAAGCGTAAAGATTGGGAATCTCCAAAGCAATCAACCGGCAAAATCTTTAAAGAAATCGTTATGAAAACAGCAATTTTTGAAAAATTCTCTCAACACAAAAACTTATTATATAAGTTACTTTCCACAAGTAATGCCCCATTATTCGAACACACTGATAATGATTTTTATTGGGGTGATGGAGGTAAAAAAGGCAATGGACTCAATAGACTCGGTATAATTTTACAAGAAGTCAGAAAAGAATTAATGCTAAAAGAAATGCATAAGCTAGAAGGAGTTCAAAAGAAAAAGGGAA